CTGACTCATAAATAAATAAATAATAAATAAAAGGGCTGGGATGTGGCTCAGCGGTAAAGTGCTCCTGGGTTCAATTCCCAGGACTGAAAATAAATATATAAATACAGATGGGGCGGGCCCCTGCCCTCTTTCAGTCTGGGATGCGGTGTGATCACAGCCGTCACATGCTGGACTGTTAGGGCGGCCTTCACAGAGTAACCATAAACTTGAGCTTAAACAGCAGAAATCATTCTCTCACTGTTTTAGAGGCCAGAAATCTGAAATCGAGACGCCGGCAGGCTGATCCCTTCGGAGGGCCATGAGGAACGAAGCGGTTCCAGGCTTCTCTCCGTGGCTTGTCGAAGGCCATCTCTCCTCTCTTTGGGTCTCTCTGTGTCCCAATTTCCCCTTTTTACCAAAACATCAGTTATACTTTGATGAGGGCCAACCCTAAGGACCTCATCTTCATTAACTACATTGGCAATGACCCTATTTCCAAGATAGGGTACCTGGTGCTATAGTCTGGATGTCAGATGGCCCTTAAAGAACCAGGTGCTCGTGGCAGTACTGGGAGGGGGTGAAACCTTTAAGAAGTGGGGCCTAGGAATGGTCTTCAGGTCACTGGGGGGGGGGTGCCGAGGAAGGGGATTGTGGGATACCAAAGGTCTCCTCCTCTTCTGCTTCCTGCCATGGGTGAGGGGTTCTGCTCCCCATGCACTCCACCAGGATGGGCTGCCTAGCCACAGGCCCAAAGCAACAGGAGCGACCAACCACACACTGAAACCTCTAGAGCTGTGAACCTTTTCTCTTTATAAGGTGATGGTCTCAGGTGTTCATCATAGTGAAACAAAGCGGACTGACACAAGGGGTGAGGCTTCCGTGGAGGAATTCTGGGGGAACACGACTTGACCCGTAATACACGCCTTGGTAAAGAGGGCCCACCTTGGAGACGGAAGAGCCGGAGAGGGAGCAGATAAGGCCACAGAGCAGAGGTGCGAAGTTAGCATGGGCCTTGACGTCGAGGGCAGTAAACGTCTCTCTTCCTCTGTGTTATTCGTGACTTCGGTTTTATTCAACCAAACCCTCATCATAGTAAGAGTCTTGGAGGGAACAGATGTCAACCCCAAAGGTCACTGAGGACTATTTCATAGAAGCTGGGACAGGGTTGGGTACCCAGGGCCAGTGAAGTGTCCAGAGGCCAGCTACAGTGAGGAACAGGTCCCCCCGCCCAGGCCTGAAGGGGCAAAGGGAGGGAGCAGTTAATGGAGCCCAGGGATGGGGAAAAGAGAAGGCCACTGGCCATGAGCGAGGGTCTCTGGGGAAGACTGCCGCCATTACACACCTGAGGCCTATGAGTGGGGAGCTGGGGACAAATTCCCCAATTGCTCTCTGTCCCCCAGTCTCCTGCAGGCACCTCCCATTGGCCGAACCAAGGCCGGGGCACATAGGAGCCCCCAGAGGCTACCCACAGGGTCAGCCAGCCGGGGGCTGCTCAGTGGGGCCACCCCTAATCCCGGAGGCCCCCACTGTATCTATAAGCTCCGTGAGGTACCTCTGCAGGTGCACAGAGGGCTCCCTGGTGGCTGAAGAGTGCCCGGGCTCTGGAAGGTGCCCTGCTGTTGAGTGCGTATGTGCCAAGAGGGGTCCTGGTGCCTCTGTCCCTCCCCACAGGGCAGCTGGAGGACTTCCCCCCCCCCGCCCAGGAAACCGTGGCACCTGCCGTGGGAATGAGGCTGTGCCCGTTGCCCAGCAGCTCCTTGGGTTCCAGGTGAGGTGGCACCTTCCCAGAGACAAGAGCCACCTGTGCCTGTCCCAGCCTGGGTCCTCTCAGTGGCTTTTTTGGGCCACAGACGGGGCACCTGTCTGACCGTGGGCCTCTTTCTCCTCCCCAGGGCTGGGCTGCCATCAGAGAGATGGGCTGGTAGCGGGGAGCTTCAGGGCAGTGGGGCTCCAGAGGGGCCTGGGCTTACACCATTGTGCGTGACTCACACTTCACCCCACATTAAAGGCTCAGGGAAGTGCGGTAGGAAACAGCCGTTTGGATTTTGTTTGCCCTCATATTTCCCAATCCTTTTCTGGGGGGCAGTACCAGGGATTGAACTCAGGGGCACTCGACCACTGAGCCCCATCCCCAGCCCTATTCTGTGCTTTATTTAGAGACAGGGTCTCACTGAGTTGCTTAGCACCTTGCTAAATTGCTGAGGCTGGCTTTGAACTCACGATCCTCCTGCCTCAGGCTTCTGAGCAGCTGGGATTACAGGCATGGGCCACCACGCCCAATCTCATCAGGTTATTGGCGCGTTACTGAATGCCCCCTGGGTCCTGCTCTGAGAGGTGATGCCATAGCAGCGAACCAAGCAGACAAAGCCCCTGGCTCCGTGGGGTTCTGCGTTGGTGGGTTCGGCGATCCAGAAACTCTCTTCACCTCCTCTAGACACTGCTCTTCGGAGTCCCCATCCAAGAGCTGCTACTAAGCTTTTTGGGGACACACAGGGTTGGCCTCCAGATGTGTCCAGTATGAATGTCAGGGTCAACTGCGCTTTCAGAGTAGGAAGAGGACGGCATTTAGAGTCCTTCAGGGGCACACCCCCGTAATCCCAGCCACTCAGGAGGCTGAGGCAGGAGGATCATAAGTTTGAGGCTAGCCTCAGCAACTTATTGAGGCATAAGCAACTCAGTGAGACCTTCTCTTAAATTAAAAAAATGGGCTGGGGATGTGGCTCAGGAGTCGAGTGCCCCTGAGTTCAATCCCTAGCACTGCAAAACAAACAAACAGTCCCTTCAGCTACGTCTTCGTCGCCTCCTTTAGTAAGTGTTGTTGAATACCTACTATGTGCTGAGCTGCCTTCTAGGCACTGAGGATTTGAAGATGAATGAACTTGTGGTCCCCATGGATCTTCTTACTGGGTGGAAATAATGGACCACGCTCCAAGATAAAGTCTCCCCGGCTTTCCAGACCTACCTAACCCCTCACGCTCTCCACCAGACCTTCACTAACAGGTCCCTCCCCAGGGGTGGCTCGCCCTGCTTCCTGCCTGGGCTCATGGGAGGGAACCCCCTCTCCTGGCTGGGCACACGTTCTCCGTGGTTTGCTCAGGTGTCTCCCAGGCCAGCCCCCCTCCCCCCCAGGGTTAATCAGCAGTGCAGTGACAGTGTCCACCCACATACATGCCTTAAGGATGAGACCCACCTGGCAGGGATGGTGATGGACAGCTGGCCTCAGAGGGCCGTCTCTCTCTTGGGACCAAGCAGAGGCCAGGTGGCCGCGTGTCTGTGTGGAGCGTGCAGTGTGACTAGGACTTGCTCAAGGCCACCTGGATAAGGGCTGAGGAGGTTTCTTGTTTGAAGTTGGGGGAGGGTTGGAACCCTCCCCTATGCCCTTGGGAGAGTCTCTGCCAGGCCAAACAGTGACAAAGCGGGGGACCTTGAGCCAGTCCCAGCTTTTCTCTGGAACGACGTCCCCCTCTCTGAGATAGCAGAGGTTGCACTAGGTGGTGTTTTGGCCCCGTGGGTGTCAGGCCCTCTGTGGTGGCATCTGGGAGGGCTGACCTGCCTCCCTCCTTCCTCCTGTGTCAAAGCTGGGCAAACAAGCACGCCCAGGCCCAGGAACGGTGGGGGAGGGCGGGCTGCTGGAGTCACGGTGTGAAGGGCTTTCACAGCTGCTTCAGTTCCTCCACACATTTGCCACAGACCCAGGCTCCTGGAGAGGCAGGTGTCCCTGTGGGTGTGACTGCAGGGGGTCCGCTCTAGCCAGGTGCCCCACCTGCCACCGGAAGAGGTCCACTTAGCACAGCTAAGCTTTGCCCTTCCCCAGGCTTCCAAACTGTGGGTGCCCCAGAGGGAGCCACGCGCTGCCCTAGGGTGCCGAGGATGGACAGGGGAGTCCCCGGGGGAGCCGGAGCCGCTGGCCTTATTGAGCAAACATCGTGTGGAGCGCCCCAAAGTGCCAGGCCCTGGGCTGGGAGGCTGCTCCCAGCAAATGACCAGGAGGGGCTTGGTCTTTCCTACAGATGAATGTCCACGTCCCCTGGGGTGAAACTGCTGGGTCACAAGTGACCGCTCCAGAAGCTGCCTCTTGGCCGGCAGGATCTCCCCCCTCTCTCCACGAGGATTTCTGAGCTCCAGGCGCACCAGGCTCCCTTTTCTCGAACAAACCAAGTCCATTTTTGCCTCCAGAACTCCACGCTTGCTGTCCCCTCCACCCAGAGCGCTTTACCAGCAGGACTTCCCATGACTTATCCTTTAGGACTCAATCCAACGGCTACTCCCAGCCCAAATGCCCCTTTCCCTCGTTCCCACCTAAAGGAGGGGTTCCTCCCGTTCCCATCCCGGCCATGATGCTTCCCGTCATAGCACCCACCACCTCTTTCCCCTGGAAATAGGCTTCACTCATTTGTGCTGATTCCTCATTGCTCACCCCACTAGACTGGAGCTCATGGCCTTGGACGGAAAGTGCCCCGTGAAATACTTTTATTTTTTTAATAAGGTACCGAGGATTTAACCCAGGGATGCTCTACCACCAAGCTACATCCTAACGCTTTTTCTCTGGAGACACAATCTCTGGTTAAGTTGCTGGGGCTGCCCTTGAACCTGGAATCCCCCTGCCTCAAGCCTCTAGAGTAGCTGAGATTACCAGGTGGGTGCTACTGCGCCTGCCAACAAAATCACTGTAATTGAGGTAGAGACCAATATCAACCTGAGACTCAGAAAGGTTGAACCGTGAGCTCAAGGTCACAGAGTTTGGAGGTGACAGAGGCGGGATCTGATTGGCCGGGTCTGCCCCGCTCCTGGCCCCACTTTCTTTCCTGGAAGAGGCTGGCCCTTCTGATGGAACCCTTTCCCCCAGTCCCTTGTTATCAGTCCGCTCTTCCGGGCCACCTGTGCGGTCACATGTTGGAGGGAACCCTGGGCCCTTCTATTGGCTGTTGGTCCTCTATCTGCCGTGGGAAAAGCCATGGCCTTGACCGTGGGAAACTTGGTCTTCTACCACCTGTTCTGGGGCCGTGCCGGCCCCTTCCGCCTGCCTTCTGCATTATATTAGAGCCCCAGCTCCCTGATTCTTTCTATTCGTCTCAAAACTCACCATGCTCCGGCTGCTGGGTTCCCTCCTATGTGTGGCCCTTGGTAAGACCCCGACCTGTACCTCTGTCCCTGAGCTGCGCTGGCCTGGGGAGCCCTGGAACTCTGCATCCATCTCTGGTTCCATAGGAGGGAGTCTTGGTGGACCCAGGGCATGACTGTGGGGCCTTCAGCTGGGGGCTGGAGGGAAGCTGTGGCCAGAGGAGGTCAGCAGAAACCAGATGCCCCCAAAGGCTGTGGGAGTCCTTGAACAATGTCTCATGGTCGAGAGTGTGGACCCTGCACCTGGATGGCTGGGTTGGAATTTCCACTCCTCTTCCTCTCCCTCCACCCAGCTCACATCCTCTTCCTCATCTCTCTGCCACATTGCTGTCCATCTCAGGGCCACCTCCTCCGAGCAGTCTCCCTTGACTGACCATAATGGTAAAGGATCGCGTTTACCGAGTGCTTACTGTGCACCTGGCAGAACGCTCAGGGCTTTTTTGTAGATGACCTCATAGCACCATCAGGGTCCCCTGAGGACAGTACTGCTTTCCCCGTTTTATAGATGGGGACACTGACCCTCAGAGAAGTAAAGTAGCTCATCCTAAAACAAGCGACCTAGTTGCACCTCGAACCCCGGCAGTCTTCCTTCCTCTCTGTGTGACCATAGCTATCATTCTGAAGGGCTCATTGGCCAGGTACCATTCCATCCTCTCTCTAAAGGGGACCTACCCTCTGGGGATGCTAGGGAACCCTGCTCTAGTCCAGATGCTAGTTCCAATGTGGCTACTGAGGTCCAGAGAGGGAGAGGGGCTTGGATAGAGTCACACAGCCAATCTGTGGCACAAATAGGACCAGGACCCTGAGCCCTCCGGAGGACTGACACATCTCCTCCTCACTCTAGCCTCAGTCTGTGGCCGACCTTCCTACAAGTCCATCGGCCGTGTTGTCAACGGTGAGGACGCGGTTCCTTATAGCTGGCCCTGGCAGGTAAGAGTAATGGCAGCCGCACTCGTCCCCACTGTGGGCTCTGGACCCCAGCCTCTGGTCACATAGCATCCAGTCCCGGCTGCGTTGCTTCCTTTCCAATATCTGCTTCAGCTTCCAAACCCCTTGCACAATCTGCTTCTCACAGAGGTTTTGCCCATGTGTAACATCTCACCGGGCTGTTTGCTGTTTAAAAATAGAATCTGGAGGCTGGGGATGTAGCTCAGTGGTAGAGCACTTGCCTAGCACGTGTGAGGCCCTGGGTTCGATTCTCAGCACCATATAAAAATACATAAATTAACTAAAGGTATTATGTTCATCTACAACATATATATATATATATAGAACCTGGAGTGAGGGCAATGTTTAAGGATGTGGCACAGTAGGGTAGAACTTCAGGCACTGTGTTTAGGGAAGGAGATTTTAGGGGACTCCTTTCTAGATTCCTTGAATCCCACAACAGGGTTGTACAGTCTGAGAGCAGCAAAAAGATAGGAAATTTCTAGAAGCCAGTGGAGGGAAGCCCAGAGAATCAGAGGACTGTACTGTCAGCCATAGAAGAAACCAGCCACGTGGGGCTATTTAAATTTAATTAAAATTAAGTGATGTTAAAAATTCAGTTCTTCCTTGCTAGCCACTTTCCAAATACTCATTCACCACACGAGGCTAGTGGTTGCCATCTTGGGAACCAAAGTTAATGGGACATGGTGGCCTCCATATTGGGGATTAAGACATGGTGGCTGCCATATTGGACAGCAAAGACATTCCTATTATCACAGAAAGTCCAGCTGATAGGGTCAGTGTGCTTGTTCTGTGAAGGGCCACAGAGTCAATATGGAAGGCCTTACTGGCCTTATGGTGTCTGCATCGGCAACTTAACTCTGCCACTCTAGCACGAGAGCAGCCACAGACAACACATTAATGAATGAGTGTGAGCCTGCTTTGGCCCATGGACCGTAGCTTGCCAACCCCTGGTCTAGAGGGAATTTCTAAAATCAGGAATGTGTAGAGAATGAGAGATGAGGCAAAGGATTCTGGGTGAGCTGTGCGCCAACAGATCCCAGAGTCCTTGAGAGATGTGAGGGTCAGAGGAGTGGGAGGGGGTGGTGACAGAACAGAGGGCCTTGGGAAACTCTCAAGGTACGGAAGGTTTGGGGATGCCCTACAGATCAGAGAATGCTGGGGTTCCCAGAGAAGTCACAGAGCCTAGGGACATAAAGCAAAATCAGAATATGACCCCAGAGGGAAAGTGATAGGTCCGCCCTGAGCAGCTGTGTAGGTTATGCACTGCACACTTCTTTCTGTGTGGACAGCGCCCTCTAGAGTTGTACAGTGTACAACCAATAAAATCATTGCTGATGACCCAAACAGCGGGGCCCAGACCACTCAGGTTCTTTCCTCCTGGGCCACCAGGTCTCCCTGCAGTATGAGAAGAACGGCGTCTTCTACCACACCTGCGGCGGCAGCCTCATCGCCCCCGACTGGGTTCTGACTGCAGGCCACTGCATCTCGTGAGTTGTCTCTCTTGCCCCGGCCCTCCCCAGCTGCTGCCCCTGTGTGACTCAGGCAGCCTGGGACACTGGGTTGGCCGAGGCCTAGACTCACCCAGCCTCCACCTGCAGGAGCTCCCTGACCTACCAGGTGGTGTTGGGCGAGTACGACCAGGGTGTGCAGGAAGGCCCCGAGCAGGTGATCCCCATCAACCGAGGGGACCTCTTCGTACATCCAAAGTGGAACCCCAACTGCGTGGCCTGCGGGTGAGTCAACACTCAGGTGTGGGACCGGGCTCTTCCACCTGTCCCTCCACGACCCAAGATGAACCTGAGAACCGCAGGGAGAGGGGGTCTGCCAGCAGCCTCGGCCCAGGAGACCACCTTAAGCCCTTCAAGCTCAGCTTTCTCCTAAGCAGAGCCCTGGAAAGTGCCGCGTAGGCGTCTGGGGCCACAACGATGAGACCCCACCCATCCTCGCAGGGCTCCTGGGGTGAGCAGAGAGACAACTCAGACCCTGGAGAAAGGGCTTGAGAGACAGGCAGGCACAGGAAGACAGCGGGCGGGCGGGATTTCTCCCAGTGCCGTCCTGGGGCAGCCGCGGCTGTGGCCCTGGGGAAGCCCGGATTCTTAGTCCTCTGGGCCCAGACCCACTGCCTGTGTTTACCAGCCCTCCAGGTGTCTCCCAGGCAGCTAAAGTGAGAGGGCCGTGGGGAGCATGGCCAGGACCACCATGAAGGCCAAGGCCAGCAAGGCTGAAGGGGCTCTGGGGGCTTTTCTCAACCGCTTGACAGACTTAAGAGCAGGGCAGAAGAGGGGCCCCTGGAGCCCCAAATGCCCACACCAGGGGCCACGGGTGGGAGCTGATCCCCTGGAGGCCGAGGCTCCGAGTGACTGTCCCCCTGCTCCCCAGCAATGACATCGCCCTTGTGAAGCTCTCACGCAGCGCCCAGCTGGGGGACACTGTCCAGCTCGCCAGCCTCCCTCCAGCTGGTGACATCCTGCCCAATGAGACCCCTTGCTACATCAGCGGCTGGGGCCGCCTTTACAGTAAGTGCTGACCCCTCTAGCCAGCCCCAGGGACAGTGGCAGAAGGGCAAGGGCTGGGGGGTCAAAGGCCACACCAGGATGGGTCCTTGCACCTTACTCCCGTCCCTTTCCAGCTGCAACCTGTCCCCCACCCTCCCAGACGTGAAGGTGTTCAATCAAACATTCTGGGGTATCTGCCGGGTGCCAGGTGCCAAGGATGGAGTGGTGTCCATCGGATGCAGGACGACCAGGGCCCCCTCAGATCAGAAGAGCTGTGTGCCTTGAATGCCCCCCACTGTCGGGCTCCTCGCCCCCACCCCCAGGTCTCCCTCTCAGCGCTCTCTATCCCCACAGCCAACGGGCCTCTGCCGGACAAGCTGCAGCAGGCGCTGCTGCCCGTGGTGGACTACCAGCACTGCTCCCAGTGGGACTGGTGGGGCTTCTCCGTGAAGAGGACCATGGTGTGCGCTGGTGGGGACATCCGCTCTGGCTGCAACGTGAGTCAGCTCTCACCTGTCCATGGTGGCGTGGGGTGTGCAGTTCCCTGAAGTCCCACTGCCACCTGCCTGAAGGTGGAGGAGGTATCTTGCCCACTTGCTCCTTCCACCCCCAGACTAGGCAAGAGTGGAGCCCAGCTCGCAGGCAGACTTGACCTGCAGAGGTCACCGTTCCCCCGGGGCCTCAGGCTTCCCCACCACTTCCAAAGCCCTGTCAACGATGGCTCTGAGGTTATAACGAACATTAAGAACGTTCTCAGGGCTGGGCGTATAGCTCAGTTGGTATAGTGCTAGTCTTGCAAGCTCAAGGCCCTGGGTTCAATCCCCAGCACCATTAAAAAAAAAAAAAAAAAGTTCTCTTTGTTCTGGGGGCACGAATGGAAACTACTGTTTTTCTCGAGTACTTTGTCTCTACTAGGTGCCGTGCTAAAATCCTGTATCATCTTATTTAATCCACACAAAATTGTATAAGGCAGATATTGTTTTTCCCATCACAAATAAGCACACGGAGATGGGCGCAGTGGCCCACACCTGTAATCCCAGTGGGTCAGGAGGCCGAGGCAGGAGGATCGTGAGTTCAAAGCCAGCCTCAGCAGTTTAGTGAGGACATAAGCAACTCAGTGAGACCCTGTCTCAAAATAAAACATAAAAAGGGCTTGGCGGTGACTCAGCAGTTAAGGGCCCTGGGTTCAATCCCTGGTACCAAAAAGAAAAAACAGACAAACAAAAAGATAAGCAAACAGTTCCCAGAGAATTCAACTCCTAGGAGGGTTGCTCAAAAGCTCTAAAGTTCAGAACCAGCTCACCCCTCCCTGATGTTCCAGGGTGACTCTGGGGGACCCCTCAACTGCCCCGCGGAAGATGGCTCCTGGCAGGTCCACGGGGTGACCAGCTTTGTGTCTGCCCTCGGCTGCAACACCCTGAAGAAGCCCACGGTGTTCACCCGCGTCTCGGCCTTCAATGAGTGGATAGAGGCGGTGAGGAGGCCCGGGGGGCTCTGGAGAGGAGCCACAGCCTGAGGGGCCTGGGAGGCTCCCGAGGCCAGGGCCGTGAAGACATTCCAGGGGGCCTTGCGGGTGGTGTCTGCTGTAATGGGGCCCCAAGGGCCTCTGGGTTTTCTGGGGAGCGTTGGGGTGTTTCTGAGGCGTTTTTTCTGGATCCCGACCTTTCTTATTCTGGAGGACAGAGAGAGAGATGCCCGACAAAGGGCTGCCTGAGAGGGGACAGATGGGAAAATGACAAGAATGAGGGAGGCAGGCTGGGTGCCGCGGTGCACACCTCTAATCCCAGCACCTGGCAAGGCTGAGGCAGGAGGATCCCAAGTTCAAGACCAGCCTCAGCGACTCAGTGAGACCTTGTCTCAAAATAAAAATAATAAAATAAAAAGGGCTGGGGATGCGGCTCAGTGCCTCTGGGTCCAGCCCCAAATACCAAATGGATAAATAAAATAAAAAAGAAGGTGGTGAGCATCATGGGACGGGGGACACTCCAGGCCCCAGGGAGAGCACAGCCCTCATGTGGGGACAGGAGGTCAGCGAGGACGACTGTTGTTCATGGTAACAGCAGTGGCCCGCGTACAGGAGTGCCAGGCCCAGGTGAGAACGGAACCTGGCCAAGAGCTGGACCAGAAGCCCCTGGCCAGTCGTCGTCCTCCTCCGGCTATAGAGAGGAGGAAGCCAGGGCTCAGGGAGGCGCAGTCGCTCCTGCAGGGTCACCCTACTGGGTGGGGAGTGGCAGGGCTGGGAGTGGAGCCCAGTCCCATCCCATTCCAGAATCTGTCCTCCTAACTAGGAGATTCTGTCTTGTGTTTCTACAGACCATAGCAAGCCACTAGCTCCACGGCCCAGCCGGCAGTGTGGACCTCACTCCCTTCCCAGAGAATAAAGAATAAAGATCCAGAAAGCCCGAGTCTGCCGCCTTCATTGACTCGCCGCTTCCCCTCTGACTGGTTCTTAAAATCTCAGATCTGAAATGCTCAGGGGAGGCCAGGCCCACCCTCTCAGGTGAAGATGAGAAAAACACGAGGCCCGTAGAGAAGAAGGGGCACCCAGCCGTCCTGGTTGCCTGAGGGTTTCCAAGGACTTTTAGTGCAGAAAGTCCCTGGAAAACTGGGACAAGGTGTTCACCCTGGTGTACAGTCACACACAAACCAGTGGCTTTTAATAAAGGTGTTAAAAATAGAATAAAAACCTGCAGGAAAACTGACCTCGTCAGCCTCCTGGAAGGCTCACGGTACAGTGGGGAGGACCGTGGGTTTCCTATTCTGGGGCTGGAGAAGAAGGGCCATGGTTGTTCATTCACTCATCAAACATTCCTTCCTTGTTCCTGAAGAAGGCTCAGAGGGGGAGGAAGATACAGTTCCTGCGCTGATATGGCTCATTATTTAAAGAGAAATGAGTAAATCAGAGTCATTAAACATTTACTAGCTACCTGCCTGGAGCAGGTTGAGGGCTGGGAGTACAGGTAAGTCGGCCAACCTCACAGTTAGCCCTAGGGCCACAGGGAAGGAGATGTCCACACAGGCATCCGGGGGCTGTTTGCCAAGCTCTTGTTGCCTCTGCCACGGCATCTGGTGGCTGCTGGTCAACCTGGTCCCAGAGTGAGCTGTTGTGGAGCAGAAACTCCACCAAAACCCTGATGAACATGTCACACAACCAAGAAATAAATTCTGTTTGTCATAACACTAAGCTTTGGGGTAATGTTTGTCACAGCAGCACGGACTTAACTTATTCTGGCTGACAAAATGAGTTTGGTGATTATCCTTCTGCTCCATGTTGTACTTCACATATACTTCACATATAAATATCCATAAACAATACATTACATTGTTTTTTTTTAAATACAGACATGTTATGTGATCTGACATGCAACTCACTTCTCCATTTAATGTTTACTTTTTTGAGCTACAATTGTGCTGTTTTATCTATCTCTAGTTCACTGTTGAGAGCTTGTAGGATACCTCATTACATAACACCGCCAATTATTTATGCTTTTCCCCCCAACACAGAGCCAATGCTTTTGTGATTACAACCAGTGCTTCAGTGGATGTCCTTGGACTTACCTCCAGATGCACATGTGCGAGATTTCTCTAGGGAATATTCCAAGAAATGGGATTGCTGAGTGGGAGGGTGTACTCATTTTCAACTTTACCAATTACCAAATGGTTCTTCAAAATGATTGTATCAACAATACTTCCTAAAATCCCCCCTTTTCCCTTGTCTCTAACACTGCCCCCACACATGACAAACTGCCCACATTTTTCTCCTAAGGCCACTTGTGGGATTTCAACCGTCTCCACAAAACTTTCCTCCAGCCCTCAGCTCTACTCTGGCTCTTACAAAACCCAAGAACTGGTCTGGCAAGGCCAGAGCGAGGGCAGGCAAGGAAGGAGACTTGTGCATCGTGGGGGTGTGGGGGAGGGCGAGAGGAAGTTCTGGAACCACACACACATGAATCATTTTTACTGAGTCCGACCACAGAGCCAAGCAGGTGCGGTCGACTGCAGGCGGGCTGCAAAGCCCGAGTCCTCTCCTCCCCACAGCCCAGGGAGGGGCCCTTGGATAATTTTCCAAAACAGTTTCAGAATGAAGGGAAGTGAGTCCTGTGTGATCCCACACTGTGACCAAGCTGCGGGCCCAGGGGCCTCCACCCAGCCACTGGGGGAGGCTAGGGGCTGCTATGACCCTCTAAGGGCCACACAAGGGCGGCAGAGAGTCAAGGAATCTTTCCTAAAACTCAACAATTTGACCATCCAGTCTTCCTATCCTTAAGTCTCCAAATCTCAACAATTTAAATCTTTTAAAGACCATCTAGTCAATAATTTAAATTTTGGGGCAACAATTGGAGTCATCAACAACAACAATTCTCACTTTTGCTTTCTAAATCATGAAAAATCAACAATCTCCATTAAAAAAAGCATCTTTTAAAGATGGTAAAGGGTCAGCACTGGGATGCTTTCTCTTTAATGCCTGATGCTAACAATTTTATTCTCCTGTTAAAAATCATCAAAGTGTCAAATGAGCCATTCGTTTAATCGTAAAAGTCAACGATTCCATTTTATTTGTTTCTTTTTCCTTTCCTGGAACATTAATATTGGCCATAGTTTAGACATGTTGACTTTGGAAAATAGAGCTCTCAAAAAGTTACTCTAGCTGCACATGGTGGTGCACGCCTGTAAGTAATCCCAGTGGCATGGGAGGCTGAGACGGGAGGATCAAAGCTAGCCTCAGCAAAAGGGAAGTGCTAACCAACTCAGTGAGACCCTGTCTCTAAAATACAAACTAGTGCTGGGGGTGTGGCTCAGTGGTCGAGTGCCCCTGAGTTCAATCCCCAGTACCAATAAACAAATAAATAATTAACTCTGTTATGGGGTACTGTGGCACATGCCTGTAATCTCAGCAATTTGGGAGGCTGATGCAGGAGGGCCAGCTTCAGCAATTTAGTGAAATTTCTCAAAATAAAAAAATTAAAAAGGGCTGGGGATGTAGCTCAGTGGTAAAGCACCTCTGGGTTCAATTTCTGGTATCCCCCTCCCAAGTCACCCCCTTTCCCACTTCTCTTACAGCTTTCACCCATTTGTTTATTGCTTCCACTTCTTTTTCTTTGCATTTAGAAAACCCACCAGCAAGTAGATTTACTGGACATAGGCTGCATACCTACTGTTTTTCTGTGTCGGGTTTGGGAGACACAGGAAGATGATCCGAACTGGGATGCTGGATCCCCCCAAGCAAGGGTCATGACTTGGCTCCACGTTCTAATGGAGACCTATGACGATGAGGGGCCCCAGGAGATGGGTCACATTGGGGCCAGAAGACTGGAAGTCTCAATGGCCCGTTCACCAGATGACAGAGGCAGACAGGGATGCCCATCAAATGTGACTCTGACAAACTTTCTTTTGTTAATCAGTATCAAAGACAAAGTGCTGAGAAACCTTGTCTAAAGTCAGAGACTGTTGGAAACTCTGCTGTTTAGAATCACATCCCTGAGAACAGAACACCCCCCTCTTGCCTAGTTGGTTGGAGCCGGATTCAACATAAGAGAAGCAGCCTAGATTTCCAGCCCAGGTGCAGAGCTTCAGAAAAGAGGCTTCGGAACTGAAGTCTATATTTATTTTAACTTGGTGGTGTCCAAGGAAACAGAACTGTTAGACCCTTTACACACTGCCAGGGTTGCTCTGCGCCCATCCACCCGATTCTTTTTAATTTTACCTCAACTCCACCCTTCCCTTTCTTTTTCTTTTTTTTTCTTGGTGGGGGGAGGCCGGTACCAGGCATTGAAACTGAAATTAGGGGCACTCAGCCACTGAGCCCCATCCCCAGCCCTATTCTGTATTTTATTTAGAGACAGGGTCTCACTGAGTTGCTTAGCTCCTTGCCATTGCTGAGGCTGGCTTTGAACTTGCGATCCTCCTGCCTCAGCCTCCCAAACCGCTGGGATGACAGGTGTGGGCCATCGCACCAGCCCACCCTTCCCTTTCTTTGGGGGAGACACTCCAGTTTCTTTGGTGTGCTGTTTCCCTTGCTACATCAAGTTCAGAAACCTAATTCTGTGAAATCACAGCTAGGTTGCTGGTGATCTGTATCAGATTGGCTTTATCATAAAACTCTTCTCTGTATCTCTTTTCCTTCATTAATTCAACCAATGCTTACTCAGTCCATGCTCAGTTTTAAGTGCTGGGGACTTGATGGTGAGAGGACAGACAAGGTCCCTGGTCCTGTTGATCTACCTCCAGCAGTAAGATAGAAAATAAACTCTTTTTTTTTTTTAAAGTTGCATGATTCATTTTTATTTTTTTAAATTTGTTTATTTTTTTATATGGTGCTGAGGATCGAACCCTGGGCCTCACATGTGCTAGGTGAGCACTCTACCACTGAGCCACAACCCCAGCCTAAGATAGAAAATAAACTCTTAACCAGAGAGATATGAACAGGAATGCATCGGGTGATGTTGTTGCTCAAACAACATCAAAAAGATGTATAAAGTATATTCTGCTTACTAAGATGGCTACGATGTCGCTAGATGATTACACACACACACACACACACACACACACACACACATTTGTACTTTGTACTGGTCATTGAACCCAGGATGGTATTCCACTGAGCTATATTCCCATTACATTTTATTTTTTAAGTCTTGAGACAGGGTCTTACTAAGTTACTGATGCTGGCCTCAAACTTGCAATCCTCCTTCCTCAGCCTCCTGAAAAATAGCTGGGATCACAGGCACATGCCACTGAAACCACGTAAAGCTTCATTTCTTAAACATGAGGCTAGCGTGCCTACCCTGGTAGCAACTGGAAAGACCTGGGGCAGAGACACATAGGGCTAAGATTTAGCGTCCTATACACAGAGGGTCCCTTCCTGGACAGACGGTCAAACCTCCCGAGCATATGCCCACTGCTGTCTGGGTACAAAGAGGCAGGGCCTATTTTATAGACTGGGCCCTGCGTCGTCTGGACTGACTCCACCAGGTGCGCCGCACTGGACCACAGTCTCCAAATAGCAGCCTGCAGTCCCTCTTTTTGGTTTCTTTCCTTTGGGTGGTACAAAGGCCCAAGGGTGGAACCTCAGGGTGGGGCAAGCTGACTCAGCGGCAGGCGGGCTCGCAGAGGATCTCAATTCCCGCTCCTTTCTTCCCATTTTGTAACTGGGCAAACTGCGGCTCCGAAATACGAAGAACTTCTCCCCAGCAAGAAAGCGGCCTCGGCTGTATCCGCGCGGTCAGGAGGCATGAGGACCCAAGACGCCCAGAGACCAGCAAGGGTTAAAATCATAAAGTTGGCGAACACCGCCGAGGCCTAGAGAGGCCTAGTCCCTCTAATCTAGTCTCCCCAACTTCCGGGGGTGCGGCTTCCGGTTCCGGCGGTGCGCCATCGAGCTCGGGGCCTGAGGTGGTGTCCTTTCCTGGATGCCGTCGTTGGTTTTTGGGTGTTGTTGTGGTTCTCTCCGCCCGGTTCCCCGCCCTCCTGCGCGGCACCTGCGCGGGTGAACGCTTCCTCCCTCCTTCCTTCTTCATCCTCCCTCGCTCCTGGTAGCTGCGAGCGGGCGGCCTGGTGGTGGCAGCTCTAGGAGTGGAGAGGCCCTGCCCTTGCGACCTGTGGCCCCCTCGGTCTGGCTTGACCTTGCATTTCGCTTCCCCTCCGCCGGAAGTGGAACCCCGGAAGCCCATCTCGGCCTCCACCCTGGGCCCCTGAGTCCGGGCAGTGCGACGGGAGGAGTCCAGGCCTTTTTTAATTGGACTGAGCCGTTGCATTGCCTTCTAGTTTTGTGACCTTGAGGGGGCCCCTCACTCCATGTCTCAGTGTGCTTCTCTGCAAATGGCGATGACAGTGTCTGCCCCGTGGGTTATCCCGAGGGTTGGGTGAAGGAAAGGTTCTGGGTGTCTGTCCCCCAAATGCAACAGCGTTAGCAGCTGCTCCTGATAATGAAGAGAGCTGAGGCAGAACTGGTCGGGTTTATAGGATAGGTCACCTGTGGAGCTAGTCCATCTTTTAGATCTGACCTTGAAAATGGTCTTACTGACCATTGAGACTATTTCTAGAAGCCAGGTTTGTGAAGGCCTGGTGCTGGGAACTAGAACTATTTTTTTTTTTTTAAAGGTGTTTTCTGAGTGGTTTAGGGATTTCCACTCAGAAAGGTCTGAGGTGGGAGGGGAAACCAGAAAAGTTTTTCTCCGTCTTGATGTGAAAGTGACACATACTTGTAGTTAAGAAAAAAAATACAGAGAAACGGTGAAGAATGTTCCCCATTTCTTCTAGTGTTCCTGCCGTTCAGAAGTAAACAAACTATTTGATAACCTTCAGATATTGTTTTTGAATAGGTCAGGTTACATATGCTTATGTGCATATATTTTTAATTTCCTCAAATGGGATCATATAACTATTCATCTGTTACTTGATTACATGTGATATATTATAGATGACTTAGATATTCAGGCCTGCTTCATTGTTTACAAGGCTGTATAATATTCCACGGACTGCTTGCCAATACTTTTAATCATTTACCTGTTGATCGCTTCAGTTGTACCCAATGTTTTGCTTTCCTTGACTGGATATTTCTTTTTTAAGTCAAGGTACCTGTCTGTTTTCAGTGGCCAAAGCAAAATTTGTGAGCCTGGGACCTTTATAAAGAAAGAGGCTTATTCAGTTCAGTTTTGGAGGCTCAGGGGCATGGCCCTGCCTCTGCTGAGGACCTCCTGGTGGATGGCATTACAGCTGCAGAAGATTGTGCAGGATCCAGAGATAACGTGTTGAGACAGGAAACAGAGACCAGGGAGACACCAGTCTCTCTCTTACAACAGCTCACTTTCCAGAACAACCAATTCACACCAGAAGGTCAATATCCATTTCTTCCCAAGGCATCACTTCCGGTAGCCTAATGACTTCCATATCCCCAGTTCTTTATTTTTGAGACAGGGCCTTGCTAAGTTGCTGGGGCTGGACTCAAACTTATGATCCTCTTGCCTCAACCTCTGGAGTCATTGGGATTATAGGTGTGAACCATGGTGCCCAGCCCCACCACCTCTTAATATCACACTGGGGTCCTGGCTTCTAACCGTGAACCCTCAGAGGTAAACCACATCCAAACTGCAGCAGCACCGCCCTTTTCATCATTTAGGTTGGTAACAACTTACATTTGGGGATGAGTACCCTATTGACTGAGCAGAAACCCCAGATAATATGAGGGCTGGTATACTCCCCAGAATATCCAACCTACAAGGTCTTTTCACAAGTAAACTATTTAATAACCTTAAGGTTAGTTTAAGGCCATTAGAAAATAGGTCAGGGAAACTTTTTAGAGAAGAGGTAACTAGGCGCTGAGAACTAGTAAATGCAGGGCAACTGATTAGTGCTTACCTCTGTCAGTTGTCCAGGAAACAGATTTGAGAGACTGAGCTGAGAGGGATCCTAAATATCAACACTCCTGCTATGGAACTCTGGGAGGGATGATCATGAAAAAGATGAACCTTAGAAAGGATCATTGTAGGGCTATAGCTGTAGCTTAGTGGTAGAGCGCTTGCCTAGCATGTGTGAAGCACTGGGTTTGAGTCTCAGCATCACATATAAATGAAATAAAGATCTGTCACCAACTAAAAAATATTTTTTAAAAAGGGTCATTGTAATGGTGTTATTGGATATACCCCGATGTGAGAATTCAGAAATTTCTGTCATTTGAACACTTTTTTTTTCCCATCGACTTGGGAGACTGAGGCAGGGGATTGAATGGCATGTATGCTAGGCAAATGGTCTACAATTGAGCCACATCCCCAGGCCTTCATTTTTTATACTTAGAGACAGAGTCTCACTGAGTTTCCCAGCCTAGCCTTGAGCTTGAACTTGTGATCCTCCTGCCTGAGCCACCCTAGTAGCTGGGATTACTGTGTGCTATACTCCCTTTCCGTTACAGCTGTTTGAAAGTCCTGGGTGGGAGTTCTGCACTGCTAGGATTCTGACATGCTCCCTTATACTGGTACTGGAGGAGGAGGAGGATCCTAAAGCAGAGGGAAGTTTTGTTTTTTTTTTTTTAGCCTTAGCCCCTGCTCTTCTAAGCAGCTCTGAGAGTTGTAGGGAGGTAGAACAGATTGTAGAGTAGATGGGGAGTTTTTCTCTGTTTTGGTACATCTTTATCAATTGTTTTATGGATCTGGAAAGTGTTTTGTAAAGATGGCTGGAAGAAGCAAGCACCCATGATTTTAAAGTCCCACTCCTGTTTGTGTATATGATTCTCACTGTTGTAGCCTAATGTCATATAGAATGCCAGGAAGTGCATGCAAGGTCATTCATTCTTTCTGCTGTTAAGAATCTATGTTTCTTCTTGGGGCTGGGGCTCAGTGGCAGAGTGCTTGCCTAGCATATGTGAGGCAGTGGGTTCAATCCTCATAAAAATAAAGTATCCATCTACAACTACAAATACTTAACAAAAAAAATCTACATTTCTCAAAAGGAAAGATAGTTTTGTCAGGTTTATTATACTTTCCTGTGTACATATGTGAATACACCATAGTGAATCTCAACATTGTATACATTCACAATCCTGGGATCCTAATTAGAATAAGATATATTCTGTGCTTATATAAATATACCAAAGCAGATTTTACTATAATATATAACTAAAAAGAACAACAAAAAAAGAGTCCATGTTTCTCTTTGTTGGGGTTGGTGGCAAGTGCTGCTAATCCCATGGACTTGGGAGACTGAGGTAGGAGGATCCCAAGTTCAAGGCCAGCCTCAGCCACTTGTCATGGCCCTAAGCAACTTAGTGAGACCCTATCTCAAAATTTAAAAAAGGCTGGGGATGTGGCTCAATGATTAAGCGCCTCTGGGTTCAATCCCTGGTACAGCGCCTCCTCTATGATAAAACAAAACTGTTTCTCATTTTGGCAAACCATTCGCACATTTTCTCAATTGTGTCAATTGATCCAGCAAAAAGAAAACAAAAATAAAATTTCTAGTAGCTTTTTAAGAAAACCTTGTTAAATTTGGAAAGCTTACACAACCTGGGCCTGGACAAGATCCACGAGATCAGGGTGGATCTTTTTGGTCTGTTTTAGCTGACCTTGACTTTTGTAATTGTGCCTGGGAGTCTGAAATATGTGCAGAGTCCCAGAATGGAGACTGAAGTTTCCCTAGGGCTGCAGATAAAGAAGTACAGAGTGATCAAATGAGCTCACCACCAACTGAGACGGTAGCTGGGGAGCCAGAAGCCATCCTAGTATTTGCTTCCTGGGTTCAGGTTCCATGGGAACCTGCTGGACTCCCTCCAGAGACCCTCACTGAACACTGTTGAGGACCTCACTGCTGTGCCACAAAGCAATTCCCTCCACCCTTCAACCTCCAGGGAGAGGTTGAGGAAGTCCTGTTATGAAGTTGCAGCTGGGCCTGGGGACATCCTAGGACATCTCAGGAGCTTGCTGAACAGCGGTTGAGATTTTGATGGTCACATGAAGGAGAGATGCTGGTGAGGAGCAGTTCCAGGCTGTGCAGCCTAAGAAGCTCAGAGCTCAAGCGCTGAGGGGTCAACCTGGAGTCAGAATCACTGGCTCTCTGCCTGCTTGTGAGAAGTAAAGCAGAGCTTCTCTTTGTTGTAGAATCCAACTTTGGCTTTGGGAAATCTGAACCTCCATCTTGGAGCTTGTTTTTGAAGCTGAAAGCCCTTCAAAGCCCGTGACTGGACCTCCTTTTGGCTGGAGCTGCTTTAGTTCCTGGGACTATAAATTCCAGAAGGAATTGCTTTGCCCTCTTGTTAGGACAAGTGTCCTGCTACTTGGAACAAGAGTTTGTTTTTCTTCTACGAGATGCCTCCTTCTTTTGTACTTTGTAATATGTTTAATGTTTTTTGTTTTTTGTATCCAAAGAGGTAATCAGCTTTAGTTTTCAGAGTTCATGATTCTCACTTTGATGACATGTCATGAAAGTTTCTGAAACCCCACCGTAACTTGTTGGGGATGCTCTTGAAGTATTAAAATTTGGTTCTTGATAATAATATGTCCTGTGGTAATCACCACGGTCAGTGTTTGGGTAAGGTAATATTCTCAAGAGTAGGTGTGACCTGGAGGTAAGAACTATGGCCGTGTTCACTGAGCAGAGACAGGAACAGTTGTGGCCTTTGTTTTCAAAACAGGATTTAAATTGGACAAAACTAAGAAAGGGATAAACAGGGTCACAAGAGGTAAGTTGCACTTAGGCAGAGCTGTCCCACTTGCTCCTTCTCCATTTCCATTCCCTCTGTGCTGCTGCTTGTCCTTGGGCAGACACCTCCCTGTGACGCTGAGACACTGTTCCATTCTGCTCTGCCTGCAACAGAGGTCACGCTTGCTTTTCTGTGTTCTGAGACCTGTGTTTTGACTGACAGCCGAAACAGAGCAGTGGCTGTGGTGGTGACTGAGTAAACAGCAGCTGCTTCCCCAGCTCAACCCAGTCTGGAGGAACCTTTCTGCCTCTGTCTTGGTTCTTGGGCTTGTAGATCTGCTCCTGTGACAAGCTTGGTGCCAGTTCAGAAATGGCTTTTGAAGCTGATTGCTCGGTGTGGCACTTTTATGTCTTCTGCTGATGCTCATTCAGTACTTCCTTTGCCTCCAGGAGTGTTCTAGGTGCTAGAATACAAATACAAAACCCAGTTTTATGGAAGTGTGTAGTTTTCTAGAAGCAGCGTTTAAAAATCTTTTTATTTTTTCTTTAGAGACAGGGTCTCACAAAGTTGCTCAACTGTCCTTGGAGTTGTGATCCTCCTGCCTCAGCGTCCCGAGCCACTGGGATTACAGGCGTGCATCACCATGCCTGGCTCTGGTAAGTCTTAAGAAGCTCTTAGGAGCAGGGGATGGTGGCACATGCCTGTAATCCCAGGGGCTCTGGAGGCTGAGGAAGGGGTATTATAACTTCAAGGCCACCCAGAGCAATTAAGTGACACCCTGTCTCCAAATAAAACATAAAAAGGGCTGGGGATGTGGCTCAGTGGTTTAGCACCCCTGGGTTCAATCCTCAGTACAATCAATCAATCAACCAATTATTATTTTACAATTTAAAATAACATATTTCTAAGCTCTTTAGTTAGATTATTTATTTATTTGGCCATGTTAGGGATTGAGCCCAGGGTCTGATGCATGGTAGGCATGTGCTATATTCCAGAAAAATAACATTTATTGACACACACAGAGTATGGGGGGAACCCCCAAATCAAAAATGACCCTTAATCACTGACTTTTTTCTTTCTTTTCCTTTCCCTCCCATCTTCTCTTCTTCTGTCCTGAGGTGTGAACCCAGGATCTCACACATGCTTGTTAACTGTTCTACCACTGAGCTATGTACTATTTTTTTTTTTTTGGTACTGGAGATTGAACACAGGGGCACTTTACATTGAGCCACATCCCCAGCCCTTTTTATTTTTATTTGGAGACAGGGTCTTGCTAAGTTACTGAGGCTGGTCTCAAACTTGTGATCCTCCTGCCTCAGCCTCCTGAGCTGCTGGAATTACAAGTGTGCACCACTGCGCCTGGCCCTACTGACATTTTTTAAAGGTGAAAGAAATATTTGCCTGTGGATAAAAAAGTTAACTAATATACGAGAGAATGGCATAAAAGTAAAAATTAATTAGCTTGTTATATCAATTTTTTATTAATTTCTTCCAGAAAATCACATGTGAGCAGAAACATACACACACATTATATAACTGTTTTTTTATTTACACAAAATTCATAAGCATGTTTGGTATATATTTATTTTTTTAAAATTTTTTTAGTTGTCAGTGGACTTTTATTTTATTTATATGTGGTGCTAAGAATCAAACCCAGTGACACACATGCTAGGCAAGCACTGTACCATTGAGCTATAACCCAGTCCTTGGTGATGTTCATTCAGTACTTCCTGTGCCATAAATTTCTTTATTGCCCAGTGAGACTTAGAGGTCTTTTGCTTACCAATATAGAGAGATTTGCTTTCTTTACTTTGCAGCTATTTAATGTCGCCTTGTTCCACTTTCCAATAGGAAGTACAAGGTCAGGATTTAGGCATGGAGTCACACCTTTGAAGCACAGGGGAGGTTTAGAGAGGTGAGTGACAGAGCCAGGACTCAGTTTCCATATTTTGAAACCATCACTAGTTTCTCCCAACAGACCCGGGATACCAGTTCTTTTCCAAGGAAGTGAATTTCCAGATGAGAGTTCTTTTCCCACATAAACAAGAAGTGGGGAGGCTAGAGTTTATCTGCATTTCTTCTGGCCCTAGCCCCTCATGCCTTTGCTATAGGCCACACTATCTGAATGTCAGAGTGGACCAGCTCCAATGTCTCGAGACCTTTGGAATTCAGGAGTAGAGAAATTCCCCATACCTAGTCCCCTCCCTGAGTGGCTCTGGTGTCTGTGTAGCCAGTCGATTGTGTTCTTAAGTCAATCCAGACCCTGATTCTAAAGAATTGAGAACTTATATATGTGTGAGTGATGTGGAAGGAGGAGGGTGATGAAGAAATGTCCCTACCAGGTAGCTGCAGTGAAAGCCGGTGCTGGGAGGACAGGTAACCTGAGATTCCTAGTGACCTACTGGTGCCATGGAAAAACATGTCATCTGTTGGGCAGCTACTCCCTGAGCAGTGAGTGGTTGCCAGGCCCTGACTACTGGGAGGAAGCCAGCTCCAGGGGACATGGAGGCCACAAGGAGTCCACCACGATGGGGGTGGTGGCTGGAGGACTCTGGTGCAGCTGGCCTTCCCAGGAATATCATGTGTGGTCAGTTTCCATAGGCAGCTCAGTGCAAGGCACTTGACAATGGCCTGACTGTTCTTCTAAACATTTTCTTCTCACCCACTGCTGTGCATTTATTGGGCATTTTCCCTTGGCCCAGAATGTCCCTCCACTTTACCTCCCCCGTCTTTGCCAGCCTACTCCTATTCCTTTTTTCTTTTCCTTCCTTCTTTTTTTTTTTTTTTTTTTTTGAGGTGTGATCTCACTATGATGCCAGGCTGGCATTCAACTCCTGGGATTGATTGTGGTCCTGGGCTCAGTGATCCTCTTGCCCAGCCTCCTGAGTAGCTTGGACTACAGCACAGCCCACCATGCCGGCCAGCCTGCTTGTCTTTCTTTTTCAGTGCTAGGAGTTGAACCCAGGGTGTCGCACATCCTGAGAAACTGCTCTACCCTGAACTGTACCCGGGCCTCTCGTTCTTTATGATATGGACCTGGTGACCTTAATGAAGCCTTCTTTGGTTTCTGCTTTGAACCTACATTTGAGGTCCTCCCATGCGTTCCAGTAACACCTTAATTGTCGTTCTCTCTCAGTCCCTGTTCATTCAGCACGTATGCATTATGTACCCGATGTGCCATCCCTGTTCTGGGTATTACACTAAGCACACCCTCTCCTTTCTGTCCCCTGGCAGGTTGTGAGCTCCTCCAAGAGGGAATCTGCATTTCTGTCATCTGACATAGGGCCTGCGCAGGGCTGATCTCAGCACACAGCCTGACATTTGTGGGACATGTGGCTGCTGCCTGACTTATGGGTTTTCTTTCTAGTGAACGTAATTAACTGTAGTAAATGGGTGACCATTAAATGTTATGTTGGGGAGGGAACAAAGAATGGGACCACTAATTCCTGTGGGTGGGTTGAGGATGGAGGTAAAAATAAAACAAAAATAGGTGGGGGAGGCTTCACTCAGGAGGCTGCTTCCTGCTCTGTCAGCACCTGACCTTGCAATGAGGTGAGGTTAACTGCCCTTGGCTGGCTCTGCTTAAAAGCTCAAGGGCCCCTTTGGTGCTTAGCAACAACCTTGAGTGCCTAGAATGGTGATTTTGAAGCTGGGTGTGGCTCCTGGGCAGGAAGCCACCACCACCACCAAAACAGCCTGGGCCTCCTGCACTTCCTCCCTCCAAACTCCACCCCCGGCTGGGTCCACAGTGTTTTGGAACCCTGTCTTAGCAGCACAAATGAGAAGTCCCTAGCAGTGGTCACTTCTCCACTTATGAGGTATATGATTTCAGACAAGTTCTCTCTGAGCTTCAGTTCCTATATTGGCTTTGTCCCTGTCTGGTTCCCAGATAAGGCTATCCTCCCACAGCACTGGAGGAACAGAAGACCTCCATAAGTACTCTGTACCTGAGTCTGCTTGGTGAGGGGAGGACTGAGTCATTCTTTCCTGACTGTCTGATCTTGCTCTTTCCTCTGAGCCCCTCTGCCAAGCCGGCCTCATCTTCTCAGTCCTGATTTCTACAGATCCTGTCCTGCCCTCCCACTCCCCCTGCCTCCCTTTCCCCTAGGATTATCTTTTGCACAGTCAAATCTCATCAAGACTCCCAAACATCTACATCTTGGCAAATCACAAGCGGTTTGTTTTTTAGGTCATTACTATTGCTGTAGTGATCTTTCATTTTTTAACAATTTAAATATAGCATGCCTCTTGTAAATTACACAAATCTTAACAGCTCAATGAATTTGTAGAAGTGGGCATATTGGTATAGCTGCCTTCCAGATCGAAATATAGAAGGTTGACCCAGACATAGTGGCACATGCCTGTAGACCCAACCACTTGGGAGGCCGAGGCAGGAGGATTGCTTGAGTTTGTGAGTTCCATGCCAGCCCGGGCAACATGGTGAGACCAAGTCTCCAAAGTAAAAACAACAACAATAACAAAAATCTGAATATTTCCTCATGTCCTCCTCCAGCCATTAATCCCCTGAGAGATAACTGCTCTTTAATATGATGTCTGCATTTCTAACTGCCCTAGAGTAGAGTTTCCTGTTTCTGAACTAGTGGGATCATTTCGTAGGTGGCTTCTTGTGCTGGGTAGACGATGGACGTCGAGCATCCTGTTTTCCATGCCTGGGCACCTGGACATGCCAGTTCTTTCTGCCAGGATGAGGCGTGCCCTCTCCTGGCCCACCCAGTCTGGGCACCTTCTTGAGACCCAGATCAAACCTTCCCCCTTTGGGAAAACCTTCCTTGGTCACCTGTGAGTCTGAATCCCAGCTCCTCCACCTTTCAGCTGTATGATGGCAAATGTTACCAACCTCTCCATGCCTGATTTTGGTTGATGGGTTTTCCTATTTCAGAGTTCTGGTGAATTTCAAGTGAGCTGATACATATTAAATACTTAGAGCAGTGCCTGAAGCAGAGGAAGAACTTAATAAGCGGCAGCTGTGACTATTGTGAGTGCTCTGCTTTCCTCATTCCCCTACATCTGCCCAAAGATTTAAATCTTGTTTGCCTCACTGTGAGATCTTAATTCCTTGAGTAGCGCATGGATTTTCATTTCCTTGTATTTCCACAACAGAGACATATTCAGTGTGCACTGTGTTCTGGCACTGAGGGTCCAGTGGTGAAGGAAGCCCCTGAATTGACTTTTTAGTGGGAGGAGAGAGATGCTAAGAAAAATAAAGAAGTGAGACAATATGAAGGTAGTAATAAACTTGAAGAAGGAAATAAGGCAGCGTGAGGTGATAGTGGTTGGAAAAGCTCTTCTTGAAGAGATGGCATTGAGCAAAGATCTGCAGGTAGAAAGCAGCAGGGATGTGCAGAGGCACCGAGGCAGGCATAATAAACCCAGGATGTCTAAGGACGTTGAAGAGAGCAGTGTGGCTGGAGCCCAGAGAGGGCGTGGTCCACTTGAGGATGG